ATAAAATTTCATTATACTTAAAAAAAATAAATAAAATCCCTTTGAATTCTTTCAAATTAAAAGATTAAAAATAAGGGATTTGGTGGGAATCCACCACCTCTCCATCTACCTCCCCCTCCTTCTCCCTCTTTTAATAATTTTATTCAAACAAGAGAGATGAGAGACTTCTTCCTTATTGTTCTTCCTTATTGTTCTTCCTCATTGTTCTTCCTCATTGTTCTTCCTGTTCTTTAACTTTCTCAATTCAATTTTCTTAATTCAAACAAAGATTAAGGAAAACATAATAGAGGGGAGGCAAGAGACAACATTCCTCCCCTCCCCTTCCCTTCTTCTTCCCATTTGGAATATACACTAAATGTGCAAAGAAAGCTAAAGCAAAACTTAAAAGGAGAAGCTCCCCCCTTCCAATCTTTTTACCAAATCAGGAAGCTTCTCTCATTCTCCTCCATTCAAACATCATAATTCCCCATGTTAAAAAAAAAAAAAAGAAAACAAACAAAAACAAACAAAAACAAAACAAACCAAATAGGCTCTTAGGGTTCTCATTTCTCAATGTTACTTGCTTATCAACATAGCTGATTCCACACATTCTGAAAAAAAGAATGTTCATGGAAGAGGGACGAAAGAAATAAATAAAATATACACAATCCATGAATTTGGCATGGATTCCAACCTAACAATCGGTAAAATTATACAAACGCATCAGATCCAAATATCCAATCAATTAAAATTTAACAATTTATAATTAAAGATATTACAGGTAAGAGTAGTAACATGCTGAGAAGTCATTACACATGTCACCCCTCTTCACTGATTAATAAAAAAAAAAAAAAAAGAAGAAATCTAAACCTACGATTCTGATTTATCGATCCAAGATCAGATATGCCTTCTATCTCGTGAAGAGTACGTAGTAGTATCAATTAACATCAAAGGAGAAGGAAAACATATAATCTGAGCAAGATCGATATCTTTCATTCAAACAATTGGAGGATAACTTTTCTTACTCAGCAACTTTCATACACCAACAGAAGAGAAAAGATAAGAAGATTGGAAATAACTAGATTATTTTATAGATAGAAATTAGTATTTATCAATTCTAACCTTAAGAGAAAATTTTCTCTTAATTTTTAAAGACATGACTGATAAACACTAATATTTTATTTAAATACATAATTAAAGACATACAGAAAGAGGTGACTAAGTGCAGGTCATGAGAAAGGGAAACTTGATCCCATCCCACAGGAGAGAACCGCATGCATCGAAGAGGAATATTATGGAAATATACCACAGGAGGATTGAATTTTTTGGACTTTTGGAAGGAAGCTCCCTTGAAGGAGGCATTAGGTGTTTTTGATTTTTCCCATTTCCCAGTCTGGGAAATCAGAAGTGTAAATGGAAAGTGCCCCGGAAGCCACCCATCTCCGCCCCTGGATCCTTCCTTCCAATATATGGGGTTTCTGCTCTGTGGGTAGGTAAGGAAATATTAGCCCCGGCCCCACAAAATTTTCCCGGTTTCAA